AGGGAGAGAAAAAAAAAAGCAAGAAGAAAAACGCAGGAGGACTGAGAGCCAAACACGAGGCGGAGAGAAGACTATACGCGGAGGGAAGCCACACCCTATCTTTTATCTTTTATTTTTATTAATATGTTAAAGTAGGATTTTTATCCGTTTGAGGGAATATTTGAACTCAAACTTCGGTTTGTCTATGAACTGGATGATCTTTATTTATCGTTGGTTAATTAAGACGCCGTATTTATTTTATTGATGAGTTGATTTATGTTATCTGCGTATCGTGCCTATGAATCATGGTGTTTGATTTAGTTTGGCCAGCTAGATTGAATATTCATAGTTTAACTGCTAGATTCGAAACTTTAATCCGTAATTGGTATAGTTCTCGTTTCATTAGTAGTAAACTAGGGGTCGTGTATCTCTAGGGTAACATGAACATAAGTTAAATGGTCTGAGCTTTCGTGTTCGTTGCTTAGACTGATTCCTATTGCTAGTGTATTAAATCTAAAGAACTTATTCTAGGTTGTCTGCTAGTTAGGTTTAGTCGAAGAGCCTATTTCGATTAAATATTCGGTAAGAGAAAATTTGGTTAATAGAGCTTGTTGTTAGCTATGATTGATAATTCACTAGCAATTTAGAGAAAGTGTCAAAATTAATTAACGAAAGATTCGAATTGGGTGATAACTGAACCGAAAATTGGACTTCTCTCATTTTATTTGATTTTTATTTGATTTTGTTATTTTTATTTTTATTGTTATTGTTATAAAACTAATCCCCCCTACTGCTTTCTTAGTTTTAATTCGATTCATACGAGAATCTCACAACTTAGTTCCTGCTCCTGGTAAGAAATACCTTTACTAACCGCTACTACTAGTTAGTAGAGGTTAGTCGAGAAAAACAATTATAAATTTAAATTTGTCGTGTCACGACGTGCGGTCACTTTTCTTGCAATAATGAGATGTTAAATATAAACCATTATAATTAAAACAATATTTTATAAGCTTTTAAATAACAATCTCGTTCGTGCATCCCACGAGATGCGCGCTATTCTATTACTATATAATAAAGAGAGGGATTTACTTGAAATTTTATTATAATTCCGACTTAATATTTTTAATGTTTCTATACTTAGTATTTTTATTTATTTATATGTTTATTTTGGAAAATGGCGGATGAATGAAAATTCAAAAAATTCAAATTCAAATTTATAAAAGGAAAAAAAAAATACTTGAAAAAGATATCGTGGAGACTTTAATTCTTCCAAACTTTAATTCCTAAAAATATGAGAAATGGTTTCCTTAAATGATATGAGAAAATCTGGTCCATAATGATCAAAAATCTTGAAAATCTTGCTTCCAAAAAAATCCGATCAATCATTTCCTTAAATTTTTTCAGTGAAACATGTAAATTTGATTACAAAAATCCGATCAATCATTTAACAAATAAACGTTTGAAAATTTTTAAAATCTTTCCAAAAAGTTTGTCAACTTAATTACTAAATATATTTTTATCTGTATTTATCTATCTACAAATCTCATATTTATGGTTACAGCAAAAAAAATGTATTTATTTAATAAAGAATGTTAATTTCAGAAATTAATTTTTATATTATTTCACATTGTTCAACTTAATTGGTGATTTTTTCATCAATATTTATCTAACTACAAATCTTTTAAAGCTAAAGAATCTCATATTATGTGGACTCTTGTTACCTATTTGTGTATACACATTCATTTTTCATCTCATATCCAAATTATGATTTTAATGCAAATTTTAAATATCTCATATTACGTGCACTAGATATAGACCATGTTTGGTGAATAGCTTTTAGCTGTTTGAATCAAAAGGTTCAATGACGGGATAATTATTATTATTATTATTAACATTATGTATTCTTATTCTTTAGTATTTTGTGTTAAAGTTGCTATTTCTAAAGTAGCAACTATAGGCAATTGTAATTTAGCAATATTGTGTTAAAGTTGCTGTAGCAACTATAGGCAATTGTAATTTACTTTTATGTCCATGAGCAAACCCTAAATATAAAAGGGCTGCTCCCTTTCTCTCTCATTCACTTTTTCATTCTTTTCTCTTTTCGCAGCCAAAACTCTCCTCCATTGTTCATCTTGAGAAATCTTTCAGTTTAATGCAAATCTTTCAGTTCATTGTTTAATTTCTGGTTTAATAATTATGATAGAAAGAATAAGTGATGTATTGGGATAATTATAAGTGATGTATACTATAAAATTTTATATAGTATAAAGAATAAGTGATGTATTGCAATTCCCTAAACAAAATATGAATAAGTGATGTATACTACAAAGTTTTATATTGGGATATTTATTATTATGATATAAAGAAAAATATTAAATTATATGAATTTTTTATATTTAAATTTTAAATGTAATCTGTTAAATATCAAACTACTAATTTACCAAATATTTTGTCGATTACAAACAACTAAATTTGCCATACACTATTTTACAAACGCTAATAAAATTCACTGGTCAAAACAGCTGACATAATCTGATGGTGGTCAAAACAGCTGATACAATCCACTAACAGCTAACCGCTAACCGTTGATTGCCAAACAAAACTATAATTATATCATTTGGTAACTACTAACAACTATTAATAAATAAATCCGACCTAATAATTTTTGTTTGTTTGGTCAATAGAATCTCATTCATATTTAATAACAATGAAAAACATAAAAAATAAAAATCTTCCCTCTATTTTAAATGTTGCACTACAAAATAAATATTATTCCAACGGAAAATCCTATGGTAATATATTCTAATAAAAATTCCAACAGATATTCCAATGTAATAGCTTCCGTTGGAATAGTTCCAACAGAAATATTCCGTTGGAATGTGTTTTTCATTGGAATTTCAGATGGAATTTGATGATTCCAACGGCTATATTCCCAACGACTTTTTACCGTAGGAATTTCCGTTGGAATATGCAAATTCTGTTGGAATTTTATTTTCCACCCCCGTTGGAATCGTCAAAATCCAACGGAAATTCCAATGGAAAACCCATTCCAACGGAATATTTTCCCTGGAATTTCCGTTGAAATCCATTGAAAAATTCCAACGGAAATAATAGTATTGAAATATCCGTTGGAATTGCCGTTGAAATAATTCTTTTAAAATAGATTTTCGTTGGAATTTCATCATTTTCTCGTAGTGTTGGTAGTCAAATCAGCCTGAGCTTGCTATAGCTTGCACAGATAGCTCTACTTCTACAATACAACTGCCATTCACGATGAAGCCATTAATAGGATCATTCACCACATCAAGATCAATAAATGAATGCCATCCCCAGTTAAGGCTGGCTTCCAGGAGCTGAAAACCAAGCAGAACCTACAACACAAGATGTTCCTATAGTAAACAATTTTCTTAAATAAAATAAGGAAGGGAAATTTACTTTGGAAATTTCAAGAGCTTATCATGACTTACCAACTTTCCTTTTGTGTTCACTTCTAATCTGATTCTTCATGCGGATTGTGCGGTGTGTGTGCAGTCGTTCATTGTTACCATCCTTAGGAATATAGTATAAGAAGATAGATAAGAAGCGTCCGCTAGCTTCTCCAACTCCATTTTTATACATCTTCACATTCCTGCACAAATATACTTTCTGTCGGCTAAAAGAACAAAAAAAGAATACATATATATGTGAAAAGAAGCCCATAAGATTAACTAACATATGTACCATTTATAGCCTCCTACAGAGAACTCGGGTGAAACCCATTCATTCCCCAATTTCGAAAAGTTTGGAATTTTCCATTCTCGCTTATAGGGAACATCAACAACATTCTTCAAAGACAGACAATCAATGATTGCCTTTTTTTGGTTCACAAAAACTTCAGCACCAAACACACAAATGTCGTCGAGGCTGATGTATCCATTGTTAAGTTCTTTCTTGGAAATGAACTTTGAGTAGCCCCATTCTGTCTTTATTGCAAGAAAAGACCGACTTCTTCCTGCTACCACAATCTACTTTTAAAAAAAGTACAAACATATATATGTTTATGTAGGATGTAGATATAGATATGTAGAGGTAGGTCACTCATCCCAAAATGAACTAGACAAACACCAGAATTTATTTCACGACCAGACAGTAAACAGCTATACCAAAATAGGAAAGCTAATCCCGGTAAGACGAATAGTTTTCCTTTTTGGATGAATTACTTTAACGAATTTAGAAGCTTAAAAGTGTATCTTTTTTCTAATATTTGCCACAGATTGACTATGAAATTTACCTAGTGAATAGCGATAATTGCCGGAAATCTGATTAAACAAGCAGATCGTGAAGACGACATTCACCTCCCAGCCTAAAGGCAAGCCACCATAATCCACAATGGCTAGGTATACCGACACGTATCCTTCGTCTCTTTCCATTCCATTTGGGTAAATTATAAGTTTCCCGTACAAGTCAATCACACAAGTCTCGTCATAAAATTTTTAAAATAAATACTTTCTTTCAACTGAAAATTCTAGTTTGTATTGTTGCGAACGAGTCACGTCCCACTTATATCCCCCAGACTCAAATTCGGTGGTCTCGAATTTCTTGATCACATGCGTCTCAAGCAACGAGAAAGGTTGCATTTTGATCAACAAATGAGCCGGTGAAGCCTCTCTAGTTTCCATAATGGCTACTGTAAGCAACACAAAAACATGCATAAATACATATGTGCATACATATATTATCAGTATTTGCTTCTGGTTTAATATAAAGAGACTAGCATAACAACAATATTAGGAACCATATATATGCCGTAAATAAAGCTAATATTATATATGTAAAAGGTTTACGTTTTTGTAATTGCTTACCATTCGTTTCTGCTGTGGAGTCCATCGTTGCTTGACTTGTTGGTGTGTTTCTTTTTAACCAAAAAAAAATATAGGGTCTTATATATGCAGATGGTTGTCTCTTAAAATTCTCAGAATATAACAGTCTTTAATTTTACTTGGAAATCTAATATCTGATCGTTTTCCAACGCACAACTTACAACTTTCAACGCATGGAACAACTTTTCATTTCCACATAGTTAGACCATGTACAATGGTTGTCTAAATAAGCAATTGCTTAGAATATTTTAGTACATTATTTTGGTGGGACCCTGTGCCATTAAGCAATTCTATGATTTAAGCAATTCAATCCCACAATGGTGAATTGCTTATTAAGCAACTCATGCGGGTCCCATATATACCCCACAAATTAACTACCAACTTAACTACCTCATCCTCTCTCTCATGTCTTGCGCCATTTTCTGGCTCATTGGCCCACAAATTCTGATTGCTTGTGGATTGCTTATTCAAGCAATTGCTTAACCTAAGCAATTGCTTGTCTTCTCTTCACAATGGGAAATTGCTTAAATAGCAATTGCTTATTTTTAAGCTATCAGTTAAGTAACCCCATTGTAGATGGTCTTATAAGGGATTTTGTTTTTCTGTCAAATCTCTTTGTATTTATTTGAATTTGCAGGTATTTTCTCTATTTTAAGCAATGATGTAACCGTTACATCATTATGTAACCGTCGAGTTAGTTGATCTTACAGTTATAAACTGCAACGGAATGATTCCGTAACGCGACCGTAACATTTTCCTACATTATGTTGCTCAATCTCTCCTCCCAATTAATAACGATAACATGATTTACTACATTAGGGATATTGCTTGGTAACATCTTTACAAAGGATTTTATAGCAAACAAAAAAAACCTAGGAATAAGACCGTTTAGAACGCTGCCATCATTTGAAAATCTTAAACTTGGCGGCACATGTGTCCGTCGTGGCCTGAACTGAAAATAATACAATCACTTACAGGACGGTTTTCGTATGTTATAAATCTTTTAAAAAAATAAATAAATACATTGGTGACGAACTGTGTATCTGTCGCCAGTAGAATAATTCAAACAAAAATCATCAGGCATTACAGTCTAAGACGAGCTTTGAGCATAAGATTCAAATACAGATTTAGAACCATACGGTAAAATCAACCCAGAAACGAGAAAAAGCTGGACAGTCCAGTTCGAGTTTCATTTTCCTTTTACAAGTACCAAAGATCCTCTTCATTTGTCATATTTACTCTTCTTCTTTTTCCGACTTTCATGTTCTTTTCCGGACCCTCGATGTGATCGACTGGGAGAGTCCTTTCTTCTGTGTTTGTGATGCTTCGAATGTCTCTTGCTGCTACTCTTTTCACGAAAGCTCCCCTTTTCTTTTCTTCTCGACTTCGAACGGTGTCTATCTCGATAATCACTCGACTCATTTGAAGTATCACTTCCTGAATTTCTGCTTTTACGCCCATGGCTTCTCGATTTTTTTCTCCCTCTTTCATCGTCAGAAGAACTGCTACTCCAACCGTTGCTCTTCCGAGTTTTATGAGAGTAATCAACGTATTTTTCGTCCCGGGAAATCTTCAGATTTTCTTTACTGTCATGTTTTTGCATGCCCGTTTTGGGAAACGCAACAGTGTTTGAACCTACTTGAGGACTTGATAAATCATCTGCTGCTGTGTAAACTGTTTTTTCAACATTTGTCAAACTTCCTGCGAAATTTGGGGCAGCCAACATTTTCTCAGACATTGAAAAGTGGCTACTTTCTCCATCGACATTGATATTTTCTTTTCGAACAGTTTTATTTTCTGGCAGGGGTTTTTTCTCAGGAGGGACCATTAAACCTAGTTCTTTCCCCAATGACTCTAAAAAGTCTCCAGCCATTAAACGATTCAGAGTGGTGTTCGCAACTTCAATCTTCTTTTGTGTGTCTTCCACTTGCTCGGATGTAGTCGTCTCCTCTTCATCATCTGAATCAGAAAAAATAGCCTGGAATAGGACAAGCATTCGTTAGAGACATTATTAGCAGAAAAATCAATAAACATAGCCTTCGGCACGTGGACAAAATTGAAAAATACAGATGGTCACAAATGAATACCCCTGAATTTTTGCCTAATTACAAAAACATAAATCCAGTTAGCATAAAAAACTACGAATAACCCCGACATTTACCTTGTAAAAGCGCAAACCATCAAATCTTGTGATCGATAAGAGGCTTTTTGTTGGTCAAAATCAAATACAATACCATACACAGTTATCTTCTAGCTAATTCTAAAACATGGATGAACCTTCATGCAAGTAGCAAAAACTGCAGGGGTAGATATTTAAATAACACTAAAATAAAATGAAACAGAGATCGAATGTACTTTATAGAGATCAACAGGCCTCTCGACATTTTCAATCTCCACTTCGTCCTGAATTTCCTTGTCAGCTGTTTCCATGCCTGGCTTTCTTTTTTGCGTTTGAGCTACAGATGAAGCTTGCTCATTCACAACATGTTCTTCCACCGTAGCAGTTTTGATAGAATCTGGCATGAAAAGCAAAGAGTCCATTTTGCTCCTCACGCGTGGAGCAGGTGGTGGCTGCATACAGAGATACACATATACGTAACATTGTAAAAACATACTGGCCCAGCCAGAATACAAGGAACATCTATATCGAACAAAATGACCTGGAAAAGAACTCTTAAAACACAAATGCAACTCAAAGAACACTTAATTCTTATTCGCAAAAAAAGTAAGAATGAGGAGATAAATGTTTCCATGCGGCATGCGTTATAAATTCAATTTTTTTTATTTCATATGATCTGAAGTGCAAACAAACTGGCAGGTATTTCATCACGGTGACTATAAAAAGGATCACCAGTGTATTGTTGTATTGTTGTCTGATAAGTCAGACCATGTTCAAAAGAGTATAGATCAAGTCAGATCATGTTCAAAGAGTATAGATCTCACAATGCCATACACCAAAACATCCTTGATATTTGCCAATATTGGTTACCAAGTCCTGTCACTCACCAGACCACCGAGATCTGATAAAATTACAGATTTTGATGTCGTGTCATTATACAAGAATCAGTTTATACACATCTATGACCAAATGTTCCAACTTCACCTCAATAACCAGAAGCTGGAAAATCCATAGGGTGATCAAATAACATTCCTGTATGAACAATTATGTTCATCCACAATTTTTAAGGTCAGCACGAGTTGCTTTAAGAGCAGGTCCATTTAAGTCCAATCGAATGGGCAAAGCCAGGTTGATACATTAAACTAGCATAGATCAAAGCAAGTGCTAGTAGAAAAACAATATAATTTTTGAAACATTGGTAGACAATGTATAAGATAGAAAATTATAGAGCACCAACAAGGTATACAGTGTGGAAGAAACGCCACTGAAGCATCCGGGAAAATTGTATTCCGTACCTTGCCCATGTAAGGATCAATCAAATCAAAACGCTTGCACAAAATTGGTGCAGGCCGCCATTGAAACTCTTCCCTTTTTGGATACATTGCTTTCATTATTAAATCCTCATCCTGTGAAACTTTATCTTCCTGCAAATAACCATCCATGCATAACAATGGAGTGTCAAATTTTACCAAGTAAAAACCAGTCCTGCAACAAATTCCCGTTGCACCAAACATACCTCTACTCCACCAAGAGTAAACTGTAATCCTGCAGAGGCTGACATATCAGATAATACTTGACTGGTGGAATTTCTTTCTTCACCTGTTTTTCCTTTCTCTATAGCCTCTGCTGCAGCTTCAAATTCCAGTCTTTCACGAGCACGAGCAGCTTCAGACATGTTACTAGAACCACCTGAATCTTTACTTCGAAGACCACCTTCGTACTTCTCCTTCAAGAACTGTTCAAATCTTTTTTGCTTTGCGGGATCATCGAGGAAAGGCTTCCCAAAATCCTGTTGCTCATTCTACAAGACAAACAAGAAATGAATGAAAGTAATTAACGCAATCAATTTGACAGAAACCTTAAAAGATTATGAAGCTGCTAGAATACTCATCCAATAACAACAAATCACCAAATTTTCTCATAAATATATACATGGGTGTGTATTAGCTAGCTACTCACAATTGGTGCAGGTTTAGTGAAGGTATCTGAAAGTTTTAGCAGAATGTTCACAGAACTAGCAGAAGCAACCAAAGAGCTGGAATCTCTCATGCTTCTCTCCAGAGCCTTTTCTCCTAATATTTTCCCACGTCTTTCAGCAGTCAGCTGTTCTGAATTCTGAGATTTTTTCCCTTCCCAGAGCTTCGTCTGCTGTTCACCACGCTTTTGGCACTCTTCCCAGAGCTTCCTCGCATAAAAATCAGAACCATTTCCTCCACGAAGGAAGTCAAATAATGGGTTTGATTGATTCTTCTCCCTATAGAGATCCTCAAACAACTTTCCAGAGCGAGCTACTAAACTAGCTACCCCTTCAATCAAGACCTTAAGATTGTTATCTTCTGGAACAGGAACCTCAGCTGGAGGGGTTTCAGCTGTCTCATCTACGCTTCCAAGAGGTGCGGAAAACTTGTGATGGGGAACAAAATCCTTTGGAATTTGCGGAGGATCAAATCTGTAAATAGCATGCAGCAATGAGTAAAATATGCTGAATTCCAACATGTATCACCGCTTTTTTTCCTCGGACGAGTAGCCAAATATAAATTATGAAGCTATTATCAAAAGTCAGGATCGTTATTCAGCACCAAAAATATTAACAGACATTCAAATCAATGGCAACGAATTGATAAGTCTGATCTCGATAGACTGATAGTGTTCACAAGGTCCCACCTCCCTTTTCCTTCTAGTGCCTTATGCAAGGATGAAAAAAGAGAATGGAGCCGGAAAAAGTGGGATAACAACTCCCTATTAGTTTCTAGAACCACATAGAGAAAAGGGAAAAAGAGAGGAAGAGGTAAACAGCCCTCTTCATTTGATACGACCTAGAGATAGAAGATTAAAAACGACAGGAAAAAAATAAAAAATAAAAGCCACTAGTACTGTATTGAATTCTCCTAACATGCCAATAGATAAATCCTCCCTATATATAATTCCCGAATGCGCTGAGCCTACGTGACTGCTTCTGGTGCTTCGAAATCCTACTTGGCGAAGAATCATGCTTCGTAATTAGGTTTGGACAAATAATATTGATATATTAATAATTAATAATCTAGGTTCGGACATTCTATAAATATTATTTATCTAA